GTTGCATTCTTTCCATTGGTTGGGTTGAGAAGGTGGTCTCGTGCTACCACCCAGTTGACCCATTGACTAGCAAATCTCTTGTAGTTTGTTTTAGGCTCACCTTTAGCAGAGAATGCAGGAAAAGTCATGGAGAAAGAGGAAGGATCCGCAGCTCGACTAGCAAAGGGGGTAAAGATGAAGCCCTTTTTTAAATTGTAGAATTGAGCAAAGTAACTTTCAAAACTGTGCATCAAAGGGGGAGCCTTCGCATAATACAAGCCATAAGAATGTGGCTTGGGGTCCATTTGGTCCAAGAGGGGAAGGTCGCCCCGTGTTGTTGGAAAATAAGCATAAATCCAAAGGAGCACTAACAATAGGGGATCGCTGCCAGAAGGAGTGACACCCTTCATGACTTGATGAATGAGGGTGTGCATGTCGTGGTAGAGATGTGCCAAGATGGTTTCCAGAAAATTAGCATGAGGAATCCCATCAGAAAGTTGGTACGAGATATGAGATAGAGACCTGCGGGGACATCCATGAGTCGGGCAGATAATGAACCTGTATAACCAGTAGTGGATAAAAGCCACCTTCTCCTTCTGGGTAATAGTTGCCCCTACATCAGCGGGCAAGTATTGCTGGTGCAAACTCGTGAAGGATTGTGGCAAAATAGGAGTTTTCTCATCAAGGGGGGTGGTGTTTGTTGGTGCTTTGGCCCCTAAAGACAAACCAATGAGGGAGGCTAAGTCCATTAGGGTGATAGTCATCGCACCCGGGGGGAAGACAAAGCAGTTGGAGCCTACAGACCAGAAGCATAAGGCAACTTTGAATAGCTGAACATCTGGATCCGGAATCGCAGCGCAAAGGGCCAATAGACGGGTAATAACAGATGCCATCCATTGTGCCTTAGTGGACGTGTCAACCTTCAACCTCTTATACCACTTGAGGAAGATGGGATCACTATTGGGCCCCTAAAGACAAACCAGTGAGGGCGGCTAAGTCCACTAGGGTGATAGTCATCGCACTCGGGGGGAAGACAAAGCAGTTGGAGCCTACAGACCAGAAGCACAAGGCAGCTTTGAATAGTTGAACATCTGGATCCGGAATCGCAGCACAAAGGGCCAATAGAAGGGTAATGCCAGATGCCATCCATTGTGCCTTAGTGGTCGTGTCAACCTTCAACCTCTTATACCACTTGAGAAAGATGGGATCACTATTTGGCCACGAGGACACTGGTTTTTTGCTTTTGGTAGGGCGAAAGAACATGGTAGGCAGTATTTCTTCTTCGAGGTAGAGAGGGAAGCTACCCCCAAGTGGATACCGGTCAAGTGTAGCAGCAGAGAAGGTATTCTCATCAATGAGGTAAGGGCCAAGCCAACCCTCCCCATTTTCTTTCACTTCCAAAAAGTCCATCTTCAACCCTGGTTTCTTACATAACGCCACGTACTCCTTCTGGTATTTGCTAGTTGCTTTTTGTATCTCTTGCTTGTTTGGCTCGGAGTTAGCCATCCTACATTATTACAAGCTCGGAGTTAGGGAGTGCTACTACAACTATGGGTGTACGGTGGAAAAAAGTGGCCAACAAAAATAATAATGCCATAAATATATGCATACTGGCGGCCATTAAAAAAAAGCCAATAATACAAATATATGCGCATGGCCATATATATATATATATAAAACCATATATATATATATATAAACATGTACGTGAGCAAAAGGAAATTTTTATAGTGATATATGCATTTGGCGGCCATCTAAAAAAAATTCTATAACAATGTAAATGCATGACCAAAAAGAAAAATGGGTAAAAGTGAGTAAGCCATAAAAGAGTAAAAGTGAGTAAAAGTAAGGATTTGTCTTACTTGGAAAACTTGTGTGCCACACGAGTTTGAAGGAGTTGTTCTCTGGATGGAGAGTTGTTGGTGAATTGTGAAAAATGAAGGTTGATATTAGTATCTATTTATAGAGCTAGAAGTTGGAGCTAATAAATATTTTTGGTTAAGGAAAAGATTTGATTGTAGAATCCCACAAGGAAAAGGAAATTAGAATCCTAGCCAAACATGGTAGGAAAATAAATTTAATTGAATTGGTGATTCTTCTAGCTTATCGTAGCCGAGTGGAGAAAAGCAATTTAGATTATCAGGTTCGATGGCTATGGGGTAAAGGGAAGTTTGAAGTATACATAGAAGAGCTTTATTTTCTCCTTTGGCAAATGGCATGGACGTCGATGCGAGAAGCCATGGTGGCTTCAATACTAGAAGCCAAAATTTGGCTAAGGGGATATGGTAATAGGGATGAGAGTAGCATTCCGTTACGGACAAGTGATGGTCTGGTACGTCTTGGTGTCTTGGTAATTAATTGGCCACTAAGCCTTGAGTAAGATGAACGGAGAGTGTGGCTTGGTAGACTGTTGGTCGAGCATCGAAAGTAAGAGTTGGTAAAAATTGGCTCTGGTTGCCGAATCTGAATTAGAGTGCCATGTTTATATAAGAAAAATGACTCCAAGTATTCAGATACAAAGATGCTAGCTATTTTGGTGGTGGACAAATATAAATTTGACTATATGGTTAGGATGGAAAACTAGTGTTTATAAGAAGTATGATTGGTCACTAAGCCAAAGTGATGGCATGGTCATGCAATTGATGACCCACGAAAGCAATCAAAAGAAGCAAAATGAAGTTTTGGTTTAATTACATTCCCTTTTGTCGTGTAGGTGGAGAAAGAAATGGTTACATTAATTATCTGCCACACCAATGTGCTCTTAATGATAAAAGGTGTCTTGACTTGTGATTAAGCCAAAATCTATATTTTCGAAGAGGCCAACTGATGGTTAAGTGGCTTAGTTGGATTTAACTACTTAGTCCACAATCTTTATGCACTAAGTAGTTGGGGGCATTTGTTTACCCATAAAAATTAACCTTGTACCATATTGATTAAAAACAAGGAATTAAATGGTTTTATAAGGCCAACTTAATCATATCAGTTTAAATCAGTTGAGTGGCCAAGAGGATTGGGTTTTTGGGCCCATTACTCCGTGCCACCACGCGCGCCATGTATCCCCAAATTTGGCTAAGTATAGGAGCCACCCCCAGAACGTTGTAATGGGGGTGGGCATCATACCACCACCCTAGAAGGTACCAAGGGGGCGGCCACCATCATACCACCCCCAGGACGTGGCAAGGGGGTGGGCATCATACCGCCACCCCCATGACATGGTGAGGGGGTGATGGCCGAATTTGGTTAAGGCAAGGAGTATGGGAGCCACCCCCAGGACGTGGTAAGGGGGGTGGCCACCATCATACCACCCACATGACGTGGCAAGGGGGGCGAGCATCATACCGCCACCCCCATGACATGGTAAGGGGGGTGATGGCTGAATTTGGCTAAGGCAAAGAGTATGGGAGCCACCCCTAGGAGGTGGTAAGGGGGGTGGGCATCATACCACCACCCCCAGGAGGTACCAAGGGGGGTGGCCACCATCATACCACCCTCAGGAAGTGGCAAGGGGGTGGGCATCATACAGCCACCCCCATGACATGGTGAGGGGGGTGATGGCCGAATTTGGCTAAGGCAAGGAGTATGGGAGCCACCCCCAGGACGTGGTAAGGGGGATGGGCATCATACCACGACCCCCAGGAGGTACCAAGGGGGGTGGCCACCATCATACCACCCTCAGGACGTGGCAAGAGGGGGGGCATCATACCGCCACCCCTAAGACGGTATGATCAGGGGGTGGGGGTCACCAACGCCGGCTCCCATGAGGATGATATAGTGGCGGGGGTGATCCATATGACCCCCATGGAGGATGCCCAATGGTATGGTGAGGGGGACACCAACGTACACCCCCATGGTATGGCCAAGGCAAGAGGGTCATGTGAGCACGTGGTCTCTTTACTCTACTATTGGTGAAGTACTTTTTGCCATTTATTCAAATACCCACCCATATGTGGTAAGTGATATTCCTTTATGCCTTAGTCATTTTTACTCTATGGATAAGCAAAACTACGAAGGAGATGCCAAAAGCAGAGGTTGAGGTCTCAAGAGGAGGGAGTCAAGACTGAAGAGGATCCCACATCCAACATCAGGGTAACCGTCATAGCAGTTGAGAGGGTAACCGTGAGTCCACGTCAGTAGAGCAGTTTCTTGGGGCAGTTACTTCTGGTGGCTATAAATAGGAGGTGAAGATGACAGAGAAAGTGTTCGCAAAAATCACAACTCGACACCACTTGTCAAGTTTTATCTTTTTATCTTTTCATATGCAGATTTTAGCCATAGTCATAGTTTTTGGAGCTCTAAGCTCTCACTGAACCTCCACAGGAGTAGGGCTAATTTAATGTAGATTTGCCTCGTAGTTCATCAAAACATTGAACACCCTTGTTTGAACTTTGTTCAAAGAGGTGTGAACTGTGTTGTTTGATCGTTTGTTTGGAAGTCAAAGGTGCAAAATCCAATTTTGTTCATCTAGTTTTTCTCGTCGGGAAAACAGTTGGTGGTTTATAGAAGTTAGTACCTCTGCAAAACGGGCCTTGGTCAGAAAAGATATGCTCAATGGCTGAACCATAAACTATACCAAAAGTAATAAAAATGTGTGCCCTTATCTCTCTGCAAAAAAGGAATAACCCCCATAACTTTCACCTGCCATGATCATGAACATCTCATCCTGCTACTTTTGGAAAAGACCAGCAGCTTTGAACAGTTTTATTTACCAGACATACTGACCTAACCTTCTCCAAGGGTTTCATCAGCTTGACAATGTTAAAAATGACTTGGATATTGGTGTCATTTTAACAAAAGTTATAGGCCATGTTCACCCACATTAGCGCAAATTGAAAGGCAACAACTCAACACTTGATGTTGTTTTCTTTTGTTGTCCTGGTTCAAGAGCAACCCATGTGCCCTCTAAAAGGGTGACTTACAAGCCATCTGCATAATCTAATCTCTGGAAGCAAAATCCCATCAACAAGCCCAATTATTCTATGACAAAGGCTTGATTTTGCAGCCTATGCTTTGATACCCATCAACCCACCATTCTTCTTTGATCTCAAAGTAGATAACTTTGGGGAAATGGAATCTGAGTATCCTCTCTTCACAGCTCTTTCCCATATAACCTGCACGCAGACTTCATTTATTCATTCCAGCCATTAGGAAAAGAAACAAGAAAGGGGGGAAAAGGGGTGAAGACTTCTTTTTCCCGGGATTTCTAGTGGTTACCAACTTCATAATCATAGTTTTATTATGGGTATCAATGGAGGGATTGTTAGGAGTGCCTTCTCCAGGACACGGTCTACAGCTTCCGCTGGAACTTGTCATCATGATGGCAATGTAAGTGAAAACAAGGTTAAATATCAAATGATTGCTCAATGATTCTTGATTGTTGACTATTGGTTTTCTGGGTTTTCAGGGAAGACGCAGCAACGGTGGTGAGAAGAAGAGGTGGAGTGTGGTGAGATCATACCTTTGTGGGGATGAGTTTAACTCGGTTCAGGGGGAGGAGGATTCTGCTACAGTCTCACGATGTCCTCAAGTAAAAGGTTCTGTGGAGACCCAAGAGACGATGATCAAGGAGCAGAGTTCTACGTCTAGCTTGTTCCTTCAGGAGGATGCAGCGATCATCATTCAGACCGCATTCAGAAAGCTAATGGTTAGTTTTACTTCTTCAGACGATGACTGCAACAAGCAAAGGAAATTCTGCTTATTTCCTTTAGTGTGGATGCTTGAAAATTTTCAGGCTAGACGTCAGGATGAGGAACATGCAAAAGTGAGTGATGATGACAAGCAGGAGCTGCACCCAGAAATGGGATGTGGAAGTCTTGGAAGGTACTCAGTGAGCACATCCATCGAGGTTCAGACTGGTAACTCGGTAGATGCTCTCTCGATAACAGAAGAAAACAATGGTGACCAACGCAAAACAAAGAAAGCCAGCAGATGCCAGGATTTCAGGTCCAAGGTGATCACCAGAACACACACCAAAAGGCAAGTACCATTGTGTTACAACCAATATTAAGCAACTTGCTTACGCTTTATCGCAACAGGTATCAAGATACATTATTCACTCCATTCATAAGAAAATGGAAGACATATTAATAATTCACTTCCAAAGTTGTCATCTTTATGCGTCATTTGAATCTACCGTTGTTTTGTCATTAAAGCTGCGGATATGCTCGAGGGAAAAGCAAGCTAGGTCCGAAAGTACACAGCAGCAGCAGCCCAGCATGAGTTGGCATTGGCTGGAAAGGTGGATGGCCACCAGAGCTCCTGAATTCTCGTTGGAGAGCCATTCAAACAAGCAATCTGAACAGTCAGCAAACAACAACAGCCACAGACAAGGAAAAAGCAGATGTTTCGATTTAGCAGTAGCAGAGAGGGAGAGTTGTGGGTCAAATGAGGTACCTGTCCCTGATGAGAGCTCAAAAACCGATGCAGGATTAGAAAATGGCTCATTCATCTCGACCGGAAAGAGAGCCAAGCCTGTAAGAAGTATCTCCAGGAGGAAAACAGCGCCATGCTATCAATGTCCTCCTAAAGAGCAAAAGGTGAAGTTCTCTCCCTCTCAAAAGAGAATAGCTCAGTTGTATCTGTTTACTGCAATCTGAAGTTTTATAGTCTCTTCTTCAATATGGTTCTAGTTCTCAAATAGACTGTCAAGAACAGCTGTGCCAGTTTAGAGCACGAGAAGGATCAGAAGCTGAAAAGATCAAACAGCAACAGAGAAAACAAGTGTCAAGATGCTTCAGCATCTTACAACTATGGCAACATTCACTTCCTTGTGAACTGAGCTAAAAGCGATATTTCGAATAAACTTAAAGAGTTCTTAGCCATTGTTTCAGCATTAAAACATTGAATACGCCGTAATGAAGTGACTAGTTTCTATTAATTTCACTCCAAGCATATGCCGTAACCCAAACATTCGCTGTAACTTGCTCATCTGCCTTCCAAGCACAGATTTAACCATGGACAAATTCAGAAAAAGAGCTACCAACCTATGTAAAACCCTGTGCCTGATTTTCAGGCATCACGAGATATGAATCCAGTAACCGCATAATAGATTCAAAATAGAAAAGACAGAAGTACAACACCCTATGAAGGAAAGTACCACAAAGAGCATACAGCAGAGCTACAAACTCGGAAATATCACAAACTCTCTAGATCCAGTAAAAAAGACAAGATTACAGAGCTATAGCTTGAATATAACAAGTGTATTACACACAATCCCAAAAGCTCTTTAGATCTTATCAATATCTTCATCTTCGAACTCGATGTAGTCATCACCAGCACCTTCATCCTCCTCATCGAGACCTCCAGCAATACCCTCATTAAGACGAGTGTTCTCAGGAAGCTCACCATACGCCTTGAGAAGCCTGGCCTCATCTGGCATGTACTTCAGGATAACATCAGCCTTGTCATCCTGATAGTCTCGGAGACCCACTAGGATGATGTCACCAGCTGCAATCCAAACTTTCTTGTGCATCTTGCCACGGATATGGCACAGTCGTTTCACCCCGTCGATGCATGTGGCCTCACAACGGCCGTTACCCAGCATACGCATCACCTGGGCATACTCCTGCCCGTCTTCCTTGAAGATCAGCTCACGCTTCTCGTCATCAGCTTCGTTCTTTCCTCTCTTCCTGTTCTTTCCACCCTTTCCCTTGTTCTTCGGCATGGTTTCTGGTTCTGCAACACACAAAACACACAAACACCCAAATTAAATTTCTATCCCTAATAATTCAATCACCGCTAGAATAAAGAAATGAAAACCCTGATACACCCTACTTCAAGAAATGAATAGGAAAACAGCAACGATCCCTGGAAAATGAAATTCACTTCCAACCCAGCAAGTTCATCAGTTTGCAAACAAATTAAAAACCCATGAACCCTAATTTTCGAACACCCCCAGCTCGAAATTCAGCTGGATAAAACAGAAACGGGAACAATAACAAATATACCCAAGACGAATCATCCACCCAGCAGAAAACGAAGCACAGAAACGAAATCACTCGCACAATCGAACACACAAACGGTCACAAGAACTCGATCCGATATCAACCAGCAGATTATGGAACGATACAGAGGGTGAAAGGAAAAGCCTCGGGGGACGGGAAAAGATCGGAACGTTTACCTCGATTGCAGGATGATTGACAAAATTAAGATGCTGCAAATGAGTAAAGAAACAGAGTTAATGAATGAAGGGATTGAAACGACGAACCTTCGCTGTTCGCTGTTTGGCGATGGAGAGGGAGAGGGAGAGGGAGAGGGAAAGAGCAAGCAAATACGCAAACAGGAGGGGAAATGCTCTCGGGGAAAGGAAGAGAGCGAGCGAACCCGATTCGCGAAAGAGGGAGAAAGAATCTGCCCTACGCATGCTTTCCTTATTATACTTACTGATTTGGTGATTAGGAAGGAAAGGAATCGGGCTCTATCGCTGAGGTTTGGGGCGGTTGGCCCATTTAGCAAGGTAGCCCATTTGGTTGGGCCGTCCTGAGGTTACTGGATATGCATTGAAGAAGCTTTACAATATTCGAACTCAAATGAAGATAGCTAGAAATTTTGGGAAAGAGAATTATGCATGTCATTCTTAAGTAAGATGGGCCAATCGGAGGTGTCACATGTGGCAGATGACATGGCGCCAACAAGGAGCCAACATGGCGGCTGCACATGTGGCATGTATGGAAGACTAGTAGCATAGAGATGCTCCTAGGATTCTCCACCTTAATAGAGAGTTTAATGGTGCACTTATGAGTCACATAATGGGTGACATTTATAGAGTGCATAATGGGGGGACTTAATGGGGTGTATTGATGTAGAGGGACATTATGAGGGGCATTGATGCCTTGTATGAGGAGAGACCTATATAAGGAGCCATCTCCCTCACTTGTAACTCATTCCATCATTTTTTAGAGTAATACACACTAGAGAGTTCTCCCAATCCTTTGTCTTTGTTCTTATTCTTTGCTTGCAAGTGAGTTGAGAGAAAGACTGCCTAGCGCTCTAACGGATTTGAGAGCTAGGGCCGCACGATCGAGAGTAAGGTCGTGACAAGTGGTATCAGAGCCTGGTTCGGCTTTGTGCTAGCAAAGTTGAACCTAGAGCCAGAAGGTAGTGATGGCAATTTCAACCCTCCCCGCGGGTATTACCCGACCTGACCCGCGATGGGGCGGGTATTACCCGACCTGCAGTAGCGTGGGGCGGGGCATGGGTATCTACTTCCGACCCGCCCTGCCCCGCCCCGCCCCGTGCTAGACTCATTTTATCTCAATTTCTTACAATATCTATACATATTTCTCCTATTTTGACTTTTCTTCAACTAGTTAGGGTCGATCTTTCAACTTGTTAGGCTCAATTATCCATTCTATTATCAATATTTTTCATTCATACAGTGTTTTTCCCTATGTTTTATTGTAAAAAGTAAAATTTACTTGTATTTTTTTTTAACAACATGTAAGAGTGGGTCGACCCGCCCCGCCCCGTACCCGCGCGAGTTTTACTCGCCCCGACCCATAGTAGCATGGGACGGGGCATGGGAATTGAGGTACCCGCCCCGCCCCATTGCCATCACTACCAGAAGGAAAGGAAGAGCCTCACCAAAAATGTCGGGATCAGATAGCGGCGTTACCGAGCACGAGAAGCGTGGAAGGGATCACACGAAGAATCCCAAGTCCATCTCTACACGAAGAATCCCGCAGTGGATTTATAGGACACCAGTCTAGGTACGATCTGTGGTGGTATGCATGACATCTACTATATTACCCGAGGAATGTATGACTTGGCAAATTAAGATGTAAAATGCAATGAACCTAACCATGCATGTGATTGAATCCTTGTATAAAAATTACTTATGATGTGGTTAAGTGATGACTTTCTATGATGTGATATATGAAATGTGCATGTCGACGATGATGGTTTTCTATGGTGTTTTATACAATGATTTAAGATTGGATGATATGATGTTATGCTATGTTATGACAGGGGTTACATGGTAATGCCAGTATGATGTGATATTTGATGCATACATGTTTAAATATTGAGTTATCAAGAGGCTGGGTGATGGTCCTTATGTTGTGATGTATGAGTTCTTTGAGTTTGAGATGATGAATTTGATATGGCATGTGGTGATGAATGGATGTTTATTTGACTGAATAAGATATAGCATATCGCATGTATCTTGACAGTTAAGTTAAGGTCGAAGGCCTGAGAGGTGGGTGACGGAAAACTGAATACTCCATGTTCTGCCATGGTCAATAGGAGGGACAAAAAGTCATTTTGAACTATACTCTTAAAGGTAAAGGAGAAAATATATATCATTATCTTATGAGTAGGCTGTCCGGCGAGTATAACTGGTTACTAAAAACAGTAATAGTAATATATGTATTAGGGTGTCATATTAAGTAAGTATTAAAATAGTTCTTTACATATCAACCATCATATATCCAATAGTTTAAGATTCGTTTACAAATCTTGCTTAACTTAGGTGTTATTCGTCTGAATATGACTCAAAGTTGCACATCTACACTCATGTATGAAAAAGAAAGGAATTTATGTCAAACAATAAAAAGAGAAAAGAAAGGAATTACAATTACATTAGGAAAAAAGTAAAGACAATGTGTTTTATAATTGTGCATGGAAGAATATTTAATGACATATGAAAAATGAAAAGAGAAAGAAGTTGGAATAAATAAAAGAAAAGATAATGATATCATTTTAATATGCGAGAAATGTCAAATTCAATCCTAAAAATGACAAATGCATTATGTATATGTACATGACTTTTTTTTAACTTCTTTCACCAATTGGTCACAAACATATTTAAACCATATAACCATAATTCGGTTTTGAAAAATATACAAAAAAACATTTGGTGACCATTGGTGTCTAGTGATATTCTTAAACACATGAAATTTTGTGTATATATCAATGTACCATATGACTGAACTATGTTGATATATTTCATATATTTATAGTAAGTATTTTCTAACAAACTGCAACATATCTACATTGGTTCACATATTTATAGTAGTTCATACAAATAAAATGTTAAATTCTTTGTGTTCTAGAATGCGGAAGAAGATTATTCTTTACTTTTCATTTTTCAATTTTAAAAGAAAATCACATGTCAAATGATGTAAAAGTTTATAATTGTGTACCAACTAAATTTATGATTTTCAGATTTTTTTAATTATTTTTAAGAAATTATAAACAATTATTAAACATATTATAAACTAAAAATAATTTATTTGTAGATGTTAATGATTTTCTTATCAATGTTAAAAAATATTATATAAAATTTTAAACGTGATAGATATTCTATTGGTTAAAAAATAGTTGTGATTAATTGCAAGAAAGATTATTTATTCTATTGGTTAAAAATTTGAAATGATTACAGTTTGACCTTGTAGGTTGCATGATTAAATCTTAGTTATGGTAATTGATATACATGTTTTGTTGTGGTTAATAGTATCAAATATATTTTATCCTAGTGGTTGGACATTTGAAATGATGATAGTTTGACCTCGTAGGTCACAGGTTCAAATCTTGGTCATGATGATTGATTTACATGTTTCCTTAGTTTTATTTTAATGTAACTAATAACTTAAAATGTTAAAAATGAGAAAATGACATGGAAAATTGTAGAGATTTCGTTGTCCTATGTGGCAAAAATTTGCTCCACAACGGCCATGATATAAGTTAAGATTTCATTAGTAACAATTATGCTTGTAACTTTGCTCGATGGAATTATCAAGTTATCAATGTTTTATAAGGTGGTTATTAATGATTTGTTCTATGTTTAATCATCAATAGGTCTAATCAATATCAATTATTTTGAATGCATGTTCAACAGAACACATACATCTTATTAATGGTTTATGTTATGGTTGTCAACATCTTTTTGTTGTGATTCTATCTTTTTGTCGTTAATAAAGATGCTCAAAATCAATGATAAAGATGCTCTAAATCATAATGACGTGATATTACTAATAATTTATTCATAAATGCTGATGATGAAAATACAAATCGGTAATAAAGTATCCAAAATTATTAATAATAATGTGATTGTAAAGAATTTATAAGTATATTGAAATTGTTAATAATGATGGGTTGATGATGAAATTGTTAATTTTTTATATCATAAGCGTTGATGACAAAAATGTCAACATTTTTATGCCTCCTAATAATATTATACCATACTGTTATTAACCTATGTAACATAATTATCAATTAAGTTGAACGAACATCAAAGTTCAAAGTATCAACATTTTTTTTGCTTCCTGTTCATATACTAATATACTATTATTAACGTTCAATCATAAATCTATAAATAATATTATTGAAGATAATCAACTTTATGCAACTCAACATTAACAATAAAAAGGTGTCCTTTTTATTAACAAAAACTCGTTTGTTTAACGTAAGATCTTAAACTATTAACGTTTTATAACCATAAAAGTTTATAATATTAACGTTTTTTGAGCCTCCTATTAATAATATAATATATGATTATTAACCTATATATGAAACATATCATTAATGAAGTTGAACGATGTGGCCATTAATGTTTTTTTGCTTCCTATTAATATTATAATATACTATTATTAACGTTCAAACATAGACCTATTAATAATGTTATGAAGGGGAATCAACTTTATGAAACTCGCCATTAGTTATAAAAAGGTGTTGCTAAGTACAACATTATTAACAAAAACTAGTCTTTTTTCAACGTCAACCATGCAAAACGAAGCAACAACATAAACCTCAACAAAGATGTTTCGTATCATGAGCTATGAAGAATTTTCCATATTAACAAATTTTTGAGAAGATTAAAGGGAACACCGCCATTTGACCGAAACCTCCTCACCTGTAGCCGTACGTCGTCGGGAAAGGCTACACCGCCACTGATATAGCGTGATCAATGGTGCTCATATGGCGCCGGGTGGCGGCGACATGGTGGTGACACTGCTGCCTTTGCCGATGGAAGTACTAGCAGGCGTTGACACGATCGCCGATTGGGAGACTGCCCGGGGGTGCCGATGGGAGGTTGGTTGCAAGATGGTGAAAGGTTGTCGATGATGGATGGGCGGGGGCCTAAGGAGAATGACGGAGAGAATAGTCTTAGGTTTTTTTATTATTACCTTTTTCCATTTTTCTATTTAAATATTCATTAATGACGGTTATACAATACTAATTTTATCCTTAACTCTCTAGATTCAAACCAGCCAATAAAAAAGATTTATGAAACTCCTTAATCTTATAAGCTTACAGGCTTATAGCTGCTACTAGCCTACTACTACTACGTTAGAATCTAATCAATTCTTCCAAGTTATTCATGAAACATAACTCTTCCTCTCAGATTCATATCACTTCTGTGCGACATAAGACAAAAGAGGAACAAAACAAGAAAGGAAGGCGAAGCCAATGCACATGGTGATGACGAAATTTTCAAATAACGTTGATCTTCAAATCCCATAGAATAAGAAAGGATTATATAGTATTCTTTTATTATTATGGCAGTTTTATTAAATATGTCTTTTTATTATTTTTTCTATTAAACATTTTCTTGTATTTTTGAAAAATGATCAAACATATTTTTTTTCAAAATTTTCATTGAAAAAATTGTTAACTATGATTGAATCGAGATTTAGACGACCCAACATTGACAAATACGAGAAAAAATGTCAGTTTTGTCCCCTGATATATTTTTCTAGGTCTTGTTAAAGTGAAATTATTAGAGGTACATAGTTATACAAAAGAACTAGAAAAGCTCTAAAGTAAAATTATTAGAGTATTTTTAGATATTTGTGTCGCTCAAATCAAGGTTCAAATGTGGTTGATGATTTTTAGATGAAAATTTCAGGATAAAAAAATGTTTGATCATTTTTCAAAGTAGAGGATAATATTTGATATAAAAAATAGTGAAGAGGAAAACGGCATATAGATATTGATACTTTGACTGCGGGATAGCTTCGTCGTATTCGTAGATATGCCTCTTCCCGCAAAACATGACAAACAATATCCATTTTCCGTGCATGTTTGAATGCTCGCCAGCTACATATATGCATGCATCAATATTGTCACACTACATCCCGAGAAAAGACACTAGCAAGCATGCATCCAAATTTATTACCTAAGCCATGCAAAAATGCGGCCACCCTTTCCTACTCTCCACCCGCCATGTGTCTTCCACGTCATCAATCTCAATCCAAGGCTTACACTTGGCTTCTCCCCCTTCATCAGAAGCTCCACTATAAATACTTGGGTCTGCATCCAACTTTTAACCCACAGAAAACCCAAATCAGTAAGCAATGGGTTCCATCAAGAGTTCAGTTGGGTTGGTTGTTTTACTCTTTGCTGCGGGCATCTCTAATCTAGTGGCAGCCGACCAGAATGGTGAGCATTAATTAATGAACGCCCATTTAATTTTCCTTTTGTGCGGACGTTCAACGCATAATTTTTTTTCTTAGCAAATAATCACTTTGTTATGCTACAGTCAAGGTAATTAATTGACGAGGACAGTCAAGTTAAGTTATTAAACTAATTATTTATTATGCTGAGAAATGGTGACGTACGTGCCGTCTGATTTGCAGCCGGTGAAGTAGCGAAAGAAGTGGTGGAGGAATCGAAGCACTACTGCCGATACGGTTGCTGCTACTGGGGGTACGGCGGCGCCTGCAACAGGTGCTGCTACAGTGCCCAAGAGGCCAAGGCCATGGGGGTCCAACTCACGGCTGCCGCTGCAGATGACGTGGCAGCTGTAGGGGAGGACTCCGTCGAGGAAGACAAGCACGGCGGAGGTCGAGGGTGGGGCGGCGGCGGAAGAGGATGGGGCGGAGGAGGTCGTGGATGGGGTGGTGGTGGTCGAGGATGGGGCGGTGGAGGGCGAGGGTGGGGCGGAGGTGGCGGTGGCAGAGGATGGGGCGGTGGAGGTGGTGGTGGTGGGAAAGTCTCCATCGGTGAGGAGGAAGACAAGCACGGCGGCGGAAGAGGATGGGGCGGCGGAGGAAGAGGATGGGGCGGCGGTGGTAGAGGATGGGGCGGCGGTGGTAGAGGAGGTGGAGGCGGTGGTGGAGAAGAATCCTTTGCTGTCGAGGAAGACAAACACGGCGGTCGCGGATGGGGCGGCGGCGGAAGAGGGTGGGGCGGCGGCGGTCGTGGGTGGGGCGGCGGCGGGCGAGGAGGAGGCGGCGGTGGCGGTGGACAAGAATCCGTCGGTGTTGAGGAAGAGAAGCACGGTGGTCACGGGTGGGGAGGCGGCGGCAAAGGATGGGGAGGAGGAGGTAAAGGATGCTGCGGTAAAGAGGAGCAAGAGAATGATCAAACAGGTTTTTTATATTCTCTAGATACAAGTTGTGTTTGCTTCTCTTCTGTTAATAAATGTTAAGTACGTATATTTTCAAAGAGGCAAGCTTGATAGTTGTTTTACGTGTACGTGTGTGTGTTTGGCAGCAAAAAAGTCGGAAGCTTCGAATCCCTTGGTGGAAGAGAAGCAAAGTGGTGGCGGCGGAGGACAGAGCGGTGGGCGTGGTGGCGGCAGTAGCGGAGGACAAGGTGGTGGACGAGGTGGTGGTAGCGGTGGCGGTGGCGGTGGGCGAGGTGGTGGTGGTGGAGGACAAAGCGGTGGACGCGGCGGCGGTGGACGCGGCGGTGGTGGAGGAGGACAAGGCGGTGGGCGAGGTGGAGGTAGCGGCGGTGGGCAGTAAATGGTTTACGCACGTTGCATGGACCATGCATGAAGAAGCTAGGGATAATCGGAATGACGTACGCATATGTAGAGGGGAGAAACCTTCACTATAATACGTTTGTACGTACGTAGAGTATTATACTATATGGGGCGTAGGTATATTATGAAAATAAAATGGACTACGTAGTGCGTTCAGAAGGCGAAGTAGGGAGATAAATAAGAAGCGGCGGACGGGTAAAGAAGCCAAAAGCTACGGCTCCAGTATATAGAAGCATATCGGACTCGGTTTCTCATGTAGAAACTAATATAAGTAAAAGGGACGTAGAACTACTGGTCCTTTACTACTTTCTAGTACAATAATGTGTGCAATTATAATATATGATCCCTCTCGTTTGAGTTGTTTGAGTTATGAAGTTTTATAATTTCTTCGGTTTTTCAAACGATGAATATATATATATGGTTCAGGATAGTGTACGCCCGGGCGTACGCTAGGTTAGCGTACGCCCCATTGAGTCTTGCTATATAGATCATGAATTAAACGGAGTTTGGGGCATGATACTATACCCTAACCTCTAATGGGTAAACCCAGTCCCTAATTTTCTAACTCAAACCATGAAATTCGTTTAATCTTAAAATGAAAATCAATGAAAATTTCGACAAATCAGGTCGTTGATTTTCATTTTTAAGATTAAACGAATCTCATGCTTTGGGTTAGTGATTGGGGACTGGGATTCACCCATTAGGGGTTAGGGTATAATATCATGTCCCAAACTCCGATTAATTCTTTGTCTAAATAGCAAAACTCAATGGGGCGTACGATAGGCTAGCGTACGCCCGGACGTACGCTAGCCTTTGCCATATATATATATATATATTCAATATATATTGATATGCGACTTAAATCATAATATTTATGATTGTCATGCATGAGCAATTACACCATTCAAACTTTTAAAATTGTATTTCGATGACTACAAGAAATTTATAATTTAGTGATAATTTATTAATTGTTTTTTCATTGACTCCCTTTTATTTAATTTAATCATTAATAAATTCTATCAAGAAGAAGAAGAAAAATATTTTGATTGGAAACTTCAAAGAACTACAGATAAAAAAAAAAACCGACATCATCTCTTCTCCGTTGCGGTTAGTGGGAGCGAGGACAACGCCGTCGTGCGCTTCGCAGATCAGATTTCTCGGGTGTATGTGCCTCAGAAATCGGACTGCGGCTCCATGTTTCTTTTTAACTTTCCTCAGTATAATCGATTGTTGTGGCCAGTCCTCTCCGATTCCCATCTTCCTTCGTTTTGGGCTTCCGTAATTGAATTTGGCGCTCCAACCCTAGTTTTCATGGCGACCGGCAAGGGGGTTCTCTTCGGAGATGTAGACGTCGCTCCCGGGGCTGAGCGAAATGCTCTCTCCCTGTTGGGAAAAGTTATCGGGTCAGTTCCCCCATTGCGTCTGTTGCTGTCAACATTGGGGGGGTCTTTGGAACTGCCGTGGTCCGATTTCGATTCTCCCTGCGGCGGACGGTCTGCTTCAGTTTGTGTTTCCTTCTGACTATGATTTGAATCGAGTACTGCGGATGGCACCCTGGATTTTGCCAAAGTATTTAATTAATTTGGCTCCATGGGTGGAAGTTTCGCCGAAGATTGCTGAGCAGATGTGGAAGGTCCCTCACTTCCTTCAGTTCTGGGATGTTCCCATTCCTTGTTGCTCAAAGAAGATGGCCACGCTCCTGGGTGGCTACTTAGGGAAGACGGATCCAGGCTCCGAGCATTATACGTCGGAGACGGCGGAAATCTATCTCCGTGCGAGAGTGTGGCTGGATTCCCGGACGCCTCTTTCGGTCTCAGTACCGGCTTCTCACGAGCAGGCACGTAAGGGGGACTTCTCGGTTGCGGTTAAATTTGAGAAACTCCCTCAGTTTTGCTACCTGTGTGGAGTGTTAGGTCACATTGGCCACCATTGACCCCGTCGGGAAGAGCTTGCTGGCAAACCTTCTCCCTATAATCGCCAGTTGGTGTGAAAGAAGTTTGGCCCCAAGGTCAATGAAAGAAATCTGTTAGGGAGAAGGAACTTCACTTGGGTACGTCCGCACCCATAGGTTTCCCTTTCTCGGCTTCCTCAACCTCCTCTGTCGCTACTCCCGCTTTTGGGAAATTCGGCTTCTTCTCTTGTTTTAGCTAGTGATCAGGCAGTGGGGGGTTCTTTGTCGGCCGGACAAGTTCGTGGAAGAGCTGTAGCTTCTGCTATGGTGGTGGAGAGCCCTAAGAACAAGAAACAGAAACTTGATATTATAAGTCCTTTGCAGGATCATATGGCTGAAGTAGTGGTGGAGGCAACCAGCCCTGACTGGTCCCTCGTTAATAGATGAGCATTCTTGCCTGGAATTGTCGGGGTCTCGGCTCCCCCCTGACAATTCCATCCTTGTTTGGAGCTGTGTGTCGCTTCTCCCCTTCGGTCCTCTGCCTTTGTGAGACTAAGAGGGATGATGAGTTTGTTCATAAAGCTCTTAGTCGTCTAGGTTATGGTGTTGTTAGTTGTGTGTCCCCAGTAGGTGTGGGAGGAGGGATGGTGCTTGCTTGTGCCTCTTCTG